TCCAGAAATCAGTTATATGAGATGTATTCACCCTGTTTCGTTTAAGGTGATGGAGGATTGGTAGTTGATCCTGCTCACAATTATATGAGTTGATGTTTTTCATAGAATTACACATAACCTTTCTTTCCCAAAAAGCGTTCTTATCCAGAGTAGACTGTAGTAATTATCTAATATATATTTATCCTTGTTTTTACTGTCTCACAAAATTATGATTTATGAACAGCTTCGCAGAAATTATCCAACTTCTTGTGCTTTCTCCTCTATCTAGTGCCAGGTAGAATCTATCAAAGGGTTGGTTAGACCTTGTATTCTCACATTTGCACCAGTGAGAACTCAACGAAACCACCCAGTGCTGCATCCTCTGCTAAAATAGTAATGATAATTTATTGCATAGAATTATGGACTCAAAACATTACCAGACATCTCTCTTGAATCATCAATAAGAAGCTTCAACGAGATACCCCTCGTAGAAGTAACGGATAAAGATTATCCCTTTGGCCAATTTTCTGTTAATCGATTTGACAGCTCTCCTACCACTTTGTCACAGCACTGTATACCCACACATAAATCTACTTTACACAGGCAAGTTTGTTTTAAAGTAAAGAAATTTATCCAGTGAATGATCGAACAAGAAAAAGTATCATTTTCACTATGTCCAAGGATACAGAATAAGATACGTTCTTCGAAATCTCACTTGAACAATGACCAAGTTACGAAAATTAGATAAAGCTAGCTTTATACTACATAATGATATGAGAGGAGCTGACTTTTCCATTTAATTTTACAAAGCCTGGCTTTCCCAATAGGTGTTATCATCCAAAGTAGACTGTATTTTCGAACTTGCCTAGGTCTTGTCAACACATCCAGTGGGAGTCGAACCACAATAATGCAGCGTGTGAAATCGACACGTTAAGCACTATGCTACATTGCAACGAGTGCCCCTGGTTCATAGGGCAGATGTGAATTTCAAGAAAACCTAGACCTTTTCTCATATCACATTTTGTGATAAAATCAGTCCCGTGACCCAAGGGCACTCTTGGCAATGTGGCATAGTGGTTAACATGTGGAGATTACATGCTGTACTGTCATGGTTCGAACCCCGCTGGGAGTGATGTTATGACCTTGGGGAAGTCGGAGCTGCAGTCCACCCTGGATGAGTACACTTTTTGGCAAAGCAAGACTATGTGAAATTCAATGGGAACGTCAGCTCTACTCACATCATTGTGGAAAAATTCTGCTACCAGTCCCTCATCACATTAAACGAAATAGACTAAACATAACTCATAGATCATCTACCGAATGCCTACTTAAAGCAAAATATATGATTATCCTAGTTGCCTGGCGAATGCGGGTAATCGTGCTCGATGTGACTAGGTATTTCCTGTGGATAATTCACAAAGGCCACGATTCTTCGGACCTTATCCGTAGTTCACCTGTAACTACAAGACACTCACTGTCAAGTACAATGACTACTAAAGTACAGTCAATTCAAGTTTAGTATTTTATTATACTACAATTTTTTACTCCATAGTGACCCCCTTTTCCTTATAAACTTCATATTACTCTGGTCCCAAACTCCCTTTAATAAAGCCTCCAAACTTTGAAGCTTCGTCTCCAATACGTCTATGCTATAGAACCTAATCTCCAGTCTTGAATTGACCATCTCAGAAGAGTCGACTTTCATTTTTATCCCTTACTTACCAATGTTGCCCTGGAGTAAAACATCGTTCATCAGGGGCCAATACCAGAGCACAACTCGGGATACTTTCATACTGGCCATACTTGTGTTCAAGTCGATAGTCATGTCTCCCAACAACCGACAACCGAGCCACAGAGAATTGCCCATAGACGGGATGAACGTGTTTGGGTATTGGGTTGTAGCGTTGCTCGCGCTCGCAACCGTCGCTCCGTTGACAATTATCTGTGAGACAATTAATTATGGTAAAATAGGAAATATTGGCAAAATACAAAATGCTTGCCGAAAAAATACATCATCATATGTTTTCAAGTTTGTTATTTTTTTAATTATCTGGATTACTGGCGAATCTGAAATTATGCGGTAAGCTGAATCCCATACATATAGGCATGTATATGGAAAGATCAAAGCTTCAAATAGCGGAATCTGGGGGGGGTTTCTTATTAACATAGCTGCAAGTCACAGTTAAGCTGAAAACGTCAACCAATCAATATGCACCAGACTGTGGACGAGTTGTGAAATGGAAGGTTATCTTCGGAGTCAGCTATGGAAACTTCTATCACACGTTATTCCAGTATGTCATATACCTTTGTATAATATGCGTCGCATAATTAGTTAAAAGTAAATGAGACCTGCGAACTTTTCTTGGTATTTCTTTGGCCTGAATTTGATAGCTCGTATACAAGATGAGTTGATGAACAATATTTTTTATGTATGCGAAGAAAAGTTGAATTTCAGGAGTCTATTGGTTTTTAATTGCCGAGCTTACCTCCATTTTGAGTGAAAATGTTTGATTAAGAGATTCGAATGTCGATCCAAACATAAGGCGATGACGGATTCTTCTAGACCGGCTGTCGATTGGCGTTAGTTGAACAGTCTAGTCGACGCTGTTTACTTGGCGATCCCATTTGATTCCTGTGAAAACCCTCTAAGCATTATCCCGTCATATGAAGAACAGTATCGGTGCTGGGCC